TAAGGGGGGGGGGGGGGGGGACATACAAGGCTTTAAAATCCAACATATCAAACACCCCACCACCCCCTCCAAGATCACTCAGCTAGCAAAATGGACGTCTTTAGATACAGAGAGAAATGACAAGCGGGTGACAATTACAACATGTCTATTGCCGGTTGAACGTGCAGTGAGAGCGGGAAGAGCAGTACAGTAGTCACCGTGCTGCATAAGCATGAATCGCCCATGTACAGATAAAAGCATATTAAAAAAAAAAAAAAAAAAACTCTAGCGCTGGCTGGCGGTCACATCGGCTGTAATCCCCAGCGTTGTGACCAGGGTCTCTAGAGGAACATAGTCGCCTGGAGAGTCTTGGACAAAGTGGAGGAGCACTTTCTCTCCACCTAGAAGAACAATAAGAGGATAGTGAGTTCAAATCAAGGCAGTACATGTATTAAAAAAAAAACCTTTCATGCAAATCTGGCACTTAAAGGGTTAATCCAGCAGCCCATCAATGTGTCATAGTATAAATTGGCAGCGGGTCAGCAAGGCAAAGTGGAGTCAATGAAGCTCTTTGTCGCCACCTTGTGGCTGCTTTTGGGTATTGTCCCGTTTAGCTTGCCAGCTTATTTGCACTATTTCATCCATTTCTCCTATTCAGTGCTGAAGTAAACTGAAGTGCTTCCAATCCCAGGGACCATGTGCATCAGTCCTGTCCCTGTGTCAGAGGAGCTTACACTCTAATCATTATGCTGCAGGCATTAAAGCACACTACTGGGCAGTATGGACAGAAAATCGAGGAACCCTCCAATGAACAGGCCAAGGAAAGCAAATCTCACTGTGGCAAAACATTCCAACTCCATTGTACATACAACCCTAGTGGAAGCTGAAGCCAGGACCCCAGCACTGCAAGACAAACAACTCTGCCTTTACCTTGTTAAAGCTGAAGTTTAATCAGCTGATATTTTACCTTCCCCAGATTCTCCCTCCCCCATTGTTTACCAACACTCTGATTAAATGTTTCAATAAAGCCTTTGTTTTTTTACATACCTTATTTAGGACACAGTGATGTCATCACTGAGTCTCTATGCTTCCCTATGCAACACAGGCAGATGACTGGTGGGAGGGTCTGACAGTGCAGTTCATTGCTTCCTGAAAACATAATGGCACCCTGCCTCAGTACGCCTCTCATGAGCCCTCAGCCCTGATGCAAGCAGTGGGCAGGCTCTAGGGAGGAGATATGGAAATATCAAAATGCCTTGAGTAGATATCAGTGGGCTTTCCTAGTCAGGCTGTGTTTGCTTGCAGACCACCCTGGGTGATGCCCACATGTGATGCTGCGCCTCTGTGATTGAAATAACTGAAAATGAATGAAAGGGACGGTGCCAAGGACAGTCTAGAAATACCTTATAAAAAGGACACAAGTAAGCTAAAGGCATTCTCCCGTGAAGTGAAATACTAGTGAGAAGACTCAGATGGAAGCTGTCACACTCTGGCTCCTAGGTTGTGTGTCAGTGAATCTGAGTAGATTCAGTTTTACAGCCCTACAATTGTATGTGAACTGGGAGTTGTTGTAAATTATGATTGAAGTAGATACATTAGGGGTATATTTAGGGTGTATTCTCATGTATTGCATTCTTTTAGCTGATGTTATTTAACACACCTATGCTAACTAGGTTTGTATTGTGTTAGTTTATTGACCAGGTGACCGTCCTGTTTTGTTGATTGTACACAATGGAACATCAAAGGGGTAATTAGACCAGCCAATCAGAATCCATTTAGTGTTAGTGAATGGTACTAAACTGTATATGAATAGAGAGCCTAAGGTGGCTGGGAGGGGAGTTCAGAGTCATGGAGAGGCACAGAGGTGCATATATAGATTGGAGATATATGCTGGGTAGTTGGAGTGGGTCCTCATGGAACCTTTATCTGAGGTCTAGATATTTGACTCTGTATTACTCTGCTGGACTGTTCCTGTTCATCTGCCTCATCGATACAATTAAACGCTACTCTCTGTAAAAGAATTGAGGTTGCCTGGATTTTCACAACGCAGATAAATATCAATACATGTATTTGGGTAGATATATATTTATACCTCCCACCATATATTTGTACACTACAGGAGTCAGGGAATTGCAGCTTCCATCTGCAGCTTCCCACACTGATAGGTTGCTTTGCAATAGATCCGTGTACATGTGGCCATCAGACAACATCTTCCTGGTACTTACCTTTGCTGACGATGAGCATCCCACCACTCTGTAGGAGATCTCCACTGAAATTGCCCTGAACCCCAACAGCGTTGGCCTGAAAAAAAAACCAATTATATGAATTATCTTGAGATGAGTGAACTGGCCAGAGTTCTATTCACTTCAACATTCACCGGCCAGAAATCCGGATTCAGCAATCTAAGAGAACCAATCCCAGCCCGTGTCCTAGAAACCAATGACGCTATACAACCCGCAAAGCCTTCCTCAATGGTTGCAAGGACCGCTGGAGTGCACAGCCTCATTGGGTGCTAGAATGCCGGCGGGTACATCGTAACAACCAATGATATGGGGCTGCCAGCAACTTAGCAACCAATGACGCAGTGTGGCCCAGCCACCAATGACGCCGTGCGAGCTCAGCCACCAGACAACCAATGACGCCGTGCGAGCTCAGCCACCAGACAACCAATGACGCCGTGCGAGCTCAGCCGTCCAATGACGCCGCGCAGCTCAGCCACCAGACAACCAATGGTGTTGCATGGATTGCAGTTTCACTGGTTGCTAGGACACACAAAAGGTTTGGTGGGCAGGTGAACTACCCAAGTGCATCTAGTTTTGTCTAACTGAACGCAGTCATACAGAATGACCAGTACTGGATGCTGGCCTCTTACTTTGTCATGCACGATTGTGCTGCAGCAAGGGTTAAAATGTTCTGTGCTGGTAGCATGCTGGAGATCCAGACCAGCCCTCACAGAGCACAGCGACCGCTCTCCAGACTGAGAGCCTACGCACTGAGCCTAATGGGGACCTGGCTGTCAGCATGTCTGGAAAATATTTTATATTGAGCATTTGGGATAATACACAATCACACGTGTCCATTTCCTGCGGAAAAACATCCAACTTACTCCAGGAAAAAAAAAAAAAAAAAAAAAAAACGACATTTCAGGCAAAAATCCCTTCGGATAGTTCAGATTGAAGTGATTTATTGCTGCGCTCATTTCTTTATTTTAATACAAAATTGAAAAACAGTGAAGGGTCTCTATATAAACAATTTGCAGGTCCCTTTGCCCTGCAAATATCTGTGAACATTTGTTTTGGGCGAATAATGACAAACAGAAACGTTCTGAAAGGAGAACTATGGGGTCAGGGCTTTTCCCCATAGTTCTCCTTAGGGTAACGGGAGGACACAAACTAGCGTCCTCCCGTCACCCTAGGCTCAGTATACCGCGAGCTACAGATCGCGGTATACCGAGACGCCGCAGCTGAAACGGATCCCGACAATTATGTCTGGATCCGCCCAGCTGCGTGAGTGACGGCTGGCTCTGCCGATCTAGAGGCAGAAGGGAAATCCAGCCCCTCCCCTGTCAAGGCTCTCTGCCGTGACAGGATTGAGAAGTGAGTGAACGCCAGTATGTGTTCGCTCACCTCCCGATCTACTGAGCCGACCTGTGACAGTCTCATTGTCACAGGTCGGCTAGAACTATGAGGTGAGTGAAAAGCACTCACCTCATAGTTCTCCTTTAACATATTCTTCCCGGTTCCAATGTCGTGTTGCAGTAATACACTATGGCCACTAGAAGGAGCTGAGGAGCACAGGACATAAAATAGATACTTTGTAACATTTTCTCCTTTCTCACCTTTGTAACAATATCTCGGACCTTCTTCCCCAGAGCAGCGGGGACGATAGAAAGCGCATTATATCTGCAAGAAAGATGAATTTCCAGATCAGCTTCCATCAGTAAAACGTTAAGAACTCCGGGCAAAAATTGTTATTAACCCTTGCAGTGGGCCAGGGGTTCTAAAGCCTCCGGGGGTTTTTTGCCTATATCTACTGCTTTCAAGCAATCGATATAGGCAAAAAATATTTATTTTTTTTTAAACGCTTTAACAACGGTTTAGACTTACCTTGTTTTCGCTGCGCGTTCCCGTCCGAGAAAACAAAACTGCTCCGGCGGCCGCAAAGCATCTTGGGGCAGGTGCATGCGCAGTTCGGAGTCTCGGCCGGGAAACGAGCAGAGACGCAAGGTAAGTCTATGGACGCGTGCACCCGCATGCAGGCACCGCTGGATCAGAAGTGCCTGCAAGCAGAGAGGAGTCAGCGCTGGATCGGAGAGCCGCCGCACCGTGCAGGGACAGAGGAAAACATCAGGAAAGAAGGGGAAGATCGGATTAAGAGACATTATTTATGGTAAGTGCTGACATTAACATTGGGGGGAGAGAGAAAAAATATTATCCTTTACATGCTCATTTTGGTTTGGGGTGGAAAAAAAAAAAAAAAAGTCATATTCACTCGATCCTCCGAGAGTGAATATTTTGTCGCAGCATTCTCCCCAGCCTGTCCCCTCCTACACTGCAGCGATGGTATGTCCCTCGGCATCCTCACATCCTACACACTGTGTATAGAACATGACTCAGGGGCTTTAGACCTCTGCAGCAGAGGGGGAGAGAGCCTTCAAGGACCGGTCTAAGATCAAGCTGTCTTGGAGGATCGAGTGAGTATAACTTTATTTTCCTCCCTAGACCAAAATGAGCAGTTAACACTTGCATTGCTGGGGTAGTCCCACTGCAAGGGGTTAATAAACATTTGGCCAGGATGTTATTTTTCCTGTGCAGTAACAGTGCAAGTAAGTGCAGGGGGGAGATGTTGGCAGTCACATTGAAGCATTATTTAGCATTCTTCTTATAGGGCCAATTCAGACTTCTGTGTAGGAGTGATGCACGTCATCAGGGCCGGATTTACTCTCTGCTACCCCAAGGCCAGATTTCTCAATGCCCCCCCCTACCCACCAACAAACCCCTCCCCCAACATGGAGAAACCCGGGCCTTGGTTGGCCTTGTTAGAAATCTGGCACTGCATGTTATTGCTCTGTGTAAGACACCTAGCATGTGTCACTGCCATTCATTTACCATGCACACCATAACGCACTAAAGCAAAACACCTGCATTGTAGCACGCTGCTGTGCATGGCAAATCACAGCTGCAGTACAAAGGGTCATGTCCTATTTTCAACACTTTAGGGTGTATTGGCACCCCATCATTTTAATGAGGATCAACACAGACGAGTGCCAAACGAAACAAATCTCAGAGTCCATAAAAAAATGTATTGTTTAGAAATTGATTGAATAGATGAATCAAAAATGAGACTGTAGCCAGAGAGATCCCTGCATTATATACAGACAACTCTTCAGGTGTATCTTATACTGTTTAAAGTGACACTAAACTCAGGAGATAAACCTTAATACATTTGAGAACCTCAACTATGAACACCAATGTATCTTATTTGTGTATCACTCGGCTGTAGATCCTCCAATCATCTCTAAATTGGTGCTGACACTGTCCTTCCTTCTGGAGGGGTGCTACGTCTGCTCCCCATGGTCCCTGTGTGTGTTGTGAAGTAGTCACCGCTCCAAGATCACTCCCGGGATGGACTACAATCTCATGTTTAGTTTCCTCATTTGTATTGAGATTGTAGTCCATCCTGGGAGTGAGCTTGGAGCGGTGACTACTTTACAACACACACAGGGGCCATGGGGAGCAGACGTAGCACCCCTCCAGAAGGAAGGACAGTGTCAGCACCAATTTAGAGATGATTGGAGGATCTACAGCCGAGTGATACACAAATTGGATACATTTTTGTTAATAATTAAAAGGGACTTGAATGTGTTTTTAAGATTGAACTCCCAAGTTTAGTGTCAATTTAACTGAAGTGCAGACATCAGGAGAGTTGTCTTCCTACAATACAAGGATCTCTCTGGCTATTACTACTTTGATTCCTCAAGTTTTCATCTCATTTTCTCAAGCCCCGAGAAAGGAGGAATCTGCATTTCTTGGTGTGATCTAGTGTAAAGATACATAGCTCTGCAGCTATCTGTGGATTCTCACCTTTTAAACCCCAGCTCCTTGTAGCTCTGCTTCGATTCATCTAGATATAACTCTGGAAAACACAAAGAAAATGTTTCCAGTGGATTACACAAACATTACACAACATGTGTTCGATGTTACACAAGTTCAGTTATAAAACATCATTGATTGTAAACCGTCTCTGTGCAGGACGTCCTCCACAAAGCCGCGGATTGTTCATTAACATTCATTGGTTTATATAGAAGTCCAAAGAGCGGAGCTGTACAATAAGCCCGGAGCCACCAGGGCCACCGTAGACCAAAAGGAAATATGATCCCTGAGGCCGAGATTTGTTTATTCCACGTAACCGTCCTCTGGAGATCATTATATATATACTGGGCTGTGTTGTTGGTGAATGGATATGATCCATCAGTAGTATAACAGAGTCTGGGGTAATGGCACGTATGATGTCATAGAAACATAGAAGAGGGACAACAAAAAAAGGCCAAGTGGCCCATCAAGTCCGCTCCTTTTTAAAAATAATAAAAGTATTACAGTAAACTCGAGTCACACTAATCCAGCACGTTATTCATCCGAGTTGCCCCACTCAATATGGCCGCTATATTGAGTGGGGCAACTCGGATTAATAATGTGCTGGATTAGTGTGACCCGAGTTCTTTTTAATACTTTATTGCGGTGTAGTATGTGTATAGGGAAATTCCGCAGGTGGTGCACGCACAGTACAGACTTCTCGGCCAAATCTCTTACTTCTAAGGTGGCCATACACTTTACAACCATCGCAAGACGATGGTTGTAAAGTAATTTTTTTTTAAAACGTACGATCTGCCCATCTTGGACAGGCAGATCGTACTTGCGATCATCGCAAGCCTGCCCCCCTGAGGAGCGGGCTTCCTATGACCGCAATGCCGTATGCGTGTTTGTCTCCTGAGCATGCTAAAAACCAGCCGAAAATCGTACGATTTTCGCCTGGTTTTCTAGCGTGCTCCTTAGACAAAAGACGTGCGTCCGTACATTAGAAACGGTCGCACGTCTTCATTCACACTGCACGATTCTCGTATGATCGCTGGATTTCCTGTGATTCTTTGTACGAGAATAGTGTAGTGTATGGGCACCTTAACTAAACCAGAAGTCAGATGGTTGGAGATCGAGGAGTTGGAGGCTTCGATAAACCAGGACACTCTTGCCAGCGTCCCGCCTAGCACCTGGCAACCAGTGATGTCACTTCCAGGTATGTATTACCTCTCACAGAGATCACAGCACTTCCCCTGACAATGTCTTCTACTGCCTTTATCTCCAAAAAGGAAAGAGCCATCTATGTTCAGACATCATCCGGGGTCACAATCTACTTCCTGGACTGAGATGCTGGCTCAGAGATGACAATCATGTAAATCTTGGTGCCTATTCTTTGCTGTGTTCACAAACAAGCAGCTCCTGCTGCAGACTCTCACCTTGTGACTTAGTACAATGTACAATCTGATCACTGGGGGAGGGGAGACTGGGGAAATGTTTCTTCCTGCATGCAGCAGACTGACGACATCATCTCAGCCTAGGCCAAGTCACTGGACTGCAGCCTAGGATGGATTTTCTGTGATAAAAAGTGGAGCTTTCCTAATAAATGATACTGTTGCTGTATATTGTGACATGTCAGGAACGGTTTGTGAAGTTACTGAAAAGGTCCATATTAAAAGAGACTGTCACTTTACCAATTTAGGCACTCCATCATTGCTCCATTGTCCACAGAGCCCTAACCCTGTGTAAGCTCCTTGTCAGATGGTGTTGGAGCTTACATGGGATTAATGTTGTCATCCCCTCCCACCATGACCATGTTTGAGTCAGACAATTGGCTGTCCAGACAGGAGCACTGCATGAGGGTGACCTGAATGGGAAAATTGAGAGTCCCTTTAAGTGCAACATGTGATCAGTTCCGGATTTTATACACACACTACGACTCACCTCCTGTGAAATAATTGCCCTCTTGGAACTCTTGCAGACCCAAAGTTTCCGGGCCGATACCAATGAGCCGGATCTGATTGGCATCCAATGATTCCTTGAGCTGCGAGACGTCTTTCGCAATCCAGCGGCAAATCTGGCAGCCAAACCTTCGCAGGAAGAAGAGGACGCTCGTGTTGTCTTTCCACAAAGTATTTAATTCACATTGACTAGTCGCTGACGGCCACAATTCGCACGTTCAGACCCAGATTTTCGGCTGACAGTCCGGTCTTTAAACACTTTAACAGCTGCTATTGAACATTTAACGAATTCTGCTGTTTTGCTGATACTCGCTCCATGGCTCCGGCGCCAACAATCATCCGACATTCAAAGGTTGTTAAATCGTGTTGTTTCCCCGTATCTTCAGAAACAAATCACTTCTACTGTCGTGGTAAACAACCCGCTTCCCTATTTATAATGGTCTGGCCCTCTAGCAACTTCAGTGCAAAATTATAGCTAATTTGACTACAAATGTCAGGTGGTCATAATAATCTGGCCACTCAGTGTACATCACCAGCATAACTAATAACATTGAAGATGAACTGCAAGCAAACAGCTAAATGCAACAAAAAATGGCCAAACAGAGCGAGCAGTTAATAAGCCGCCGGCCGCTGTCGGTATACAATGTAGACAGCGGGAGATTCCTCAATGAACGCTTGTTAGCATTACTAGGGGAATCCGTTCGATTTTCTTTGTTCAGCCCGATGGTTGAACAAAGAAAATAGAAACCTGTATACCCAATTTAACTCTATAAAGTCTGGACAGCAGCTCCCCACCCCATTCTCTTTTTTATCCTCATGACTACAGGACCGTTATCACTACAGCCTCTTATCACTTTAATGTGTGCATTCAGGTTCATGCTCTCCTGGATGAGATCCCCACTACTGCCGAGCAGGAGCCCCCTTTATCTGTGGATCTCTTCAGCCCATGTGATTCGTGTTTGGATGTAATCAGGGGTCTGCAGCTGTTTTCTGGCTGTGTCTTATGGCTCCATTCTTTGTATTGTTCCAAGGCCTTTGCCACCTTTAATGCCCATCTACGGGCAATCAAAAAAAAAAATACCCTTGTGGTGGGACACACACACACACTGCAAGGGTTAAGTGCTCAATGATGTCTAGGGGACACTATTAAAGCTATTTTACTTACGTAACCCTTGGTTCCTCTCTGCTACTTAACCGGTCCCTTAAGCTTGTTCTACCCCTGGCACCAGTGGTCTAAGGACTGCTCATGTGACCACGAGTTATGCAGGTCCATTGACTTACATTAGACGTGAGGACATCAAGGAACTTACCACAGTCGGAGAAGAGGGGGAGATAAAGCGAGGACTGACCCACCACGGGATAAGGCAAGTCATCTGTTTAATTAAATCCCCTACGCAAATCAAGTTTTGTTTGGTACGGATATTTCCTTCTTTTGGAATTTCAGGATTTGGATCCGAAATTCAATTTGGTTCGGGTTTCAGATTCGTCCGAAATCTAAAATTTTTGTTAGTTTCACGAGTTTACACATATTCGGGTCTGGGAGGCTTAGCTTTAGTAATATATGTATATGGCTCCCAGACCCGAATGGCATTCGGGAGCTACCGAATGCAATTTGTATCCCGAATGTCATGCGGGTCAAGGAGCCTCAGCTTTAGTATTATATGTATATACTGTATATGGCTCCCATGTTGCCATAACAAAAGTTTGTTTTCAGACCCATTCGGATGCATTACACCAAAACACGTCTGATTGGCCAGAAAAAAAAAAAAGTTGCATGTCCATTTCAGTTTAATTTTTGAACGAAATTCGGACGGGAGTCAGAAATTCGGAAATGGAAATTTGGATGCAGATTAGTGATGGGCTCTGGCGTGTTCGCAGCTCCACGTGCCGAGCTCGCCAGGAACCTGACAGCGCCAATGACAGCCACTGAGACATTTCCCGATCTCTGCAGCTGCAGGATGGGAAAACGTCTCAGTACCTGTGATTGGCGCTGTGGCACTGTCAAGCTTCCTGGCGGGCTCGGCACATGGAGCTGCGAACACGCCCGCGCAAAAGTCCGAATTTAGGAAAATTTGTGCCAATTTTGATTTGGTTTGAAACGAAAATCGCACATGTCTACACTTAACCCTTGCAGTGCAGGAGTAGCCCCACTACAGTTTTTTTCTTTGCCGGCAGTCGGGCATTAAGGCTGAACTCTGCGCACATAAACCTTCATCAGCATATATGGTCTTACGTAAGTGGTGTGTTCATTCAAACCTGTTATTATTTGGACCCGTTTCCCTTTAACTGTGAAACAACCATAGACGGGTCAGCATAGGAAGCAATGAATGGCACGCAGCATTCGCATACAGCGTCACGGCTGCTGAGGATGATGCAACTGAACAGCTGCATTACCGCAGCCCATCACTACAGACCTCAGAGAGTCTCATCGATGATAAACCGCAGCAGCATCAGATAAAACAACTCAGCAGATCTATTAACATTCAGATTGGTGTGGAGACCCCCATGAGGGGTGTGACTAGAGGGTCTTCTCCCCCATGCAAAGCTGAACACCTCTTCCATTAAAAGTATACGCATGCTGCAGGAAACTTCTAGGGATGATCTGGCTAAAGATAAGTAACACAGCATGAATGTCATTTAATCTGATAGCAATATATTTCCTATCACATCAATGCATGGCTTACGCATACATTGCACATTAGCAAAGCATTAAAAGGAATGTACACAGAAAAGTGAGGTTTTAATAGAGGTGGAGTCTGGTGGTCAGGGTCCCTGGATTCATAAAAAAGTCATGCTACACCATTGAGATCCCCCTGCCATCAATTACTGACTCTTGGGAGTTTTGAGTGTCCCTGCCCCCCCCCTTTGTGTGTCCCAGCTCCTCCTCTTACAGTCTCCTATAGTATAAATTAATAATGCATTCACCAGGGAGAGTGGGCGAATCTTATAATGAGCACAGCATGTGCAGAGACCCTCCCAAGAGTCCCTAAGAGGTGCAATAAACTGCCAGGTGGTTTTTGTCTCTGGCATCTACCAAAAGTTGCAGGTGAAGGGACCCTTTAAGACCTAGATTGCAAGAAAGACACCTCACCTCTCCGGTCACTACGTTTTTCACCAGGATGGCACCAAGCTTGGCCAGATCCACGTTGCCCATCTTGCCCTTTGCTTGCTGACAATGTCTGCAGACAGCTTACTCACTTCCTAATATCAGTACTATCACTCCATGACGGAGCAGGGGCCAGCCAATCACAGAGCTAGGATAGCCCTGGGTGTGGAGAGAGGGGAGGGCCCAGCTTCCCTTATATGGTCATACAGGCGGGTCTCAGTTGCATAAGCTGACACCTTTCATAACAGTGCAATGAACTGGGGCTGAAGTCACAATTGTATCATTCAGCTGGAATGTATCACTTTGGAATGTTGCAGATTCTGTAAAGTGTTAACTTCCTTTTTATCTTCCCCTTTGACCTCCATTTGTTTGTTTTTAATACATTAATACAATTCCATGATTGCTTTTGTATATTAAATACATAGAGAGGATTCCATTATAATAAAGGTAAACCCGAACTGAATGGCATCTAGCACGCCCCAACTCCGTGCATCAAATAATTGGTAAGTTTATTTTTTTTATTTTTTAAAAAAAATCCTTTTTTTTCTCCTTTTTTTGCATGCCAGTGCTGCTGATCTCCTGTAACCCTTTTGCAGCCACTTCCTGTGTGCACTCTAAAGATTAAAAAAATGAAATGGTCACAGGGGTGTGGAGTGAGATAAAAGCTTTCCAAACGGGGGCTCGAGCAATAATAAACTGCTTGTCAACTCCTCCCATGCTCGCCTCCAGGACTTCTCTAGAGTCTTTCCCATCCTCTGGAACTCTTTACCCCAACCTGTCCGTCTATCTCCCACTCTGACTGCCTTTAGGCAATCTCTTAAGACTCATCTCTTCAGGGAACCCTATCCCACCTCAACCTAACCACAGAACCATCACGTTCTCAAACAATTCATCCCCACACAGCTACCTCCTCATGTATCACTGGCCCCTCCCTTGTAGATTGTAAGCCCTCAGGGGCAGGGCCCTCCTTACCATCTTGTCTTGAATTGTATTGTGATTGTAATTTCTTCCTTATATTGTAAAGCTGTTGGCACCATATAAATCCTGTATAATAATAAAGACCGGAGTCTTCCTCAGTTGTGACTCTTTGGTCACTGGGAGATACAGGATGTCACCAGCACACCAGATTCAAGTGCCTGATGAAGGGACCCATAGTGGCCCCAAAACGTTACCCTTCCCAGAGACAAGATGTACAAAAGGACTCTGCCGAAACCCGGGATCGAACCAGGGACCTTTAGATCTTCAGTCTAACGCTCTCCCAACTGAGCTATTTCGGCTCATGAAACACAGCAAATGTTTTCAAAAAGTGGAAGAGACTTCATTCAATCCTTTAATTTTTTGTTGTTTTTTCCATATTTGTTATTTTATTAAATTGGTATTATTTTATAATTTCTTTATTTTTTACACACACATGCTAAATGCACACAATTTGCTCATGCGGGGACATCTTGTCTCAGGAAAGGCAAAGTTTTGGGGTCACTTTGGGTCCCTTCACCAGGCACATAAAGTGTTAGTTGTTAGTGTCAGCACTTACCTTAAATTATGTCTCTTAATTTGATTTTCTTCTTCCTTCCTGTCCTCTTCATCTGTCCCTCCAGCGCTGCAGTGGGTCTCCGATCCAGCGCTGACTCCTCTGTCCCTGCTGGCACTTCCTGTCCCACCGTGTCTGAATGCGGGTGCACGCGTCCATAGACTTACATAGTGTCTCTTCTCATCTCCCGGACGAAAATGTGAACTGCGCATGCGCCCGGCCCAAGATGCTTTGCGGCCACCCGAGAATTTTCACATTTTCGGACGGGGGCGCGCGGAGAAGACACAGGTAAGTTTAAACCACTTTTAAAGCGTTTTTTTTTTGACAATTTTTGCATATATCTACTGCTTGCTAGCCATAGATATATGCAAAAACACTGGAGGGTTTAATAACCCTTTAACTCCGGAGTGTTGGTGACATACTGTATGTATTTGGACTTGAGTGACGCCATCCGCATTCACTTCAGCCCCCACCTACAAGGGGTATGCCGGTAAGATGTGCAGTGACATCAGGGCCGGCACTGCCAATAGGCAAACTCGGCAGACGCCTAGGTCTCAGGTCTGCGGTCAGGTCTAACTGATTCAGTTCCAGGGATTTTGCTTCAGTCCTGTCTCACTGCGACCTGTTTGTTCACACTGTATTATTGTACCAAGTCATTGCAATATAAAGATCACATGGTAATTACTACGGAGATCTGATCATCAAGGGGTTAACCTCTATGTGTGTCAGGATGGCCGAGCGGTCTAAGGCGCTGCGTACACCTTGAGAGTCACCCAACGCATGATTTATTAGAAACACACACTGTTCACAACACTTTATTTACCAATTCTGACGTTTAAGAAATGCCAGTGACATTCACTTTTGTAGAGCGTTCGTCGAGCGTAGAACGCGCTACAAAACGTTCAGGTGTGAACGAGGGCTTAGGATATGGTAGCTTTCTTCAAAGACGCGACAAGTTCTTTGTTTTCAGGTTAAAGAATTCAGAGATTCAATTTCACAGCTTTGAGGGGCCGAAATAGCTGGGAGAGCATTAGACTGAAGATCTAATGGTCCTTCCTCCAACATTGCCATAACCAGACTTAGGCCAAGCATAACATGTATAGAAGTTACGTCGGGGTGAACGAGCTGTTTTGAACATTCAGAAATGTCCAAAACTGATTGTCGAAAGTACCCATGGATTCTTGCAGTGTTCCGCGCAGATATGTGCAAAGTAGCCCTCAATGCTGTGTTGGCCATTGTTTCCAGCGCAACCCCAACAAGACAAATCAACTTGCCTTGGGATGGTTGGGCTCGATTCACACCACTGCAACTCAGGCTGAAAAAAAAGTACTGCATGCTCCACTTTTTTTTAAGCATAGCAAAATGCGATGCAGTACAACCACCCCCACCCCCCCTCTGCCGATCCCTGCACTGGCTTCCAATAGCCTAAAGAATAAAGTTAAAAATATTAACAACCGCTTACAAAGCCATCCACAGCTCTGCCCCCGGCTATATCTCAAACCTTGTCTCAAAGTATCACCCTAACCCTCCCCTCCGCTCTTCCAAAGACCTTCTGCTTTCCAGCTCCCTCATCAACTTCTCCCATGCTGGCCACCAGGACTTCTCTAGAGTCTCTCCCATCCTCTAGAACTCCTTACCTCAACCTGTCCATCTACCTCCCACTCTGACTGCCTTCAGGCGATCCCTTAAGACTCATCTCTTCAGGGAAGCCTATCCCACCTCAACCTAACCGCTCAACCATCACATTCTCAAACAAAGCATCCCCACACAGCTACCTCCTCATGTATTACTTCCCCCTCCCTATTAGATTGTAAGCTCTCAGGATCAGGGCCCTCCCCTTACCATCTTGTCTTCCTTATATTGTAAAGCGCTGAGGAAACTGTTGGCGCTATATAAACCCTGTATAATAATAAAGACCGGACTCTTCCTCAGTCAAATTCACAGCAGTTGTGACCCTTTGGTCACTTGGAGATACAGGATGTCACCAGCACACCAGAGTCGAGTGTCTTTATTTATGCGGGGACATCTTGTCACAGAAAAGGCAACGTTTTGGGGCCACTTTGGGGTCCCTTCACCAGGCACTTAACTCCGGAGTGTTGGTGACATACTGTATGTACTTGGACTCGAGCGGCGCCATCCGGATTCACTTCAGCCCCCACCTACAAGGGGTATGCCAAGTCATTGCAATAGAAAGAACAGCTGCTAATTGCTACTGGGATCTAATCGTCAGCAGGTTAACTTGTGTGTCAGGATGGCCGAGCGGTCTAAGGCGCTGCATTCAGGTTGCAGTCTCCTCTGGAGGCGTGGGTTCGTATCCCACTTCTGACAAATACCTTTTAGTACATACAAGTATCCTTTTAGTATATACACGTATATCATCACAGATAAGGAGCAATATGTAATTAATTTTTTTTGGAGGGGGCGGGGGCTGAACAGGATAAATATACAGTTTTAAATTGTTTTTTATAATATAAAAGTCAGGCTGCATTTAAAAAAATATATTTATTTTTTTGAGTGTGTATATGAAATGATGGCATTCTTTAATATATTTAAGGATATTTTTAATAAATAAATACATTTTCACGTATCAAAAAAACTTTGCCGAAACCCGGGATCTTTAGATCTTCAGTCTAACGCTCTCCCAACTGAGCTATTTCGGCACTACAGTGAGCATTAACTTTTACAAAATGGTGGAGGAGACTTAAAGGAGAACTATGAGGTGAGTGCTTTTCACTCACCTCGTAGTTCTAGCTGACCTATGACAATGAGACTGTCACAGGTCGGCTCAGTAGATCGGGAAGTGAGCGAACACATACCGGCGTTCGCTCACCTCTCGATCCTGTCACAGCTCTCTGCCGTGACAGGGGGAGGGGCTGGATTCCCCCCTCCCCGATCCTCCAGTGCTGACTGGCGGATCGGACGGGGGAGGGGGCGGGTACAACTTGCTCTGCCTCTAGATAGGCAGAGCCAGCTGTCACTCACGCAGCTGGGCGGATCCAGACATAATTGTCGGGATCCGCATCAGCTGCTGCGTCTCAGTATACCGCGAGCTACAGCTCGCGGTATACTGAGCTTAGGGTGACGGGAGGACGCTAGTTTGTGTCCTCCCGTTACCCTAAGGAGAACTATGGGGAAAAACACTGACCCCATAGTTCTCATTTAACCCCTGTTTAACCCTTTTCATACCAGCCGCTGCACAAAACGCACAGTGGCAGTGTGCGGTGCCCGACACTGTCCCGATGCAGCGATCCCACTACATTGTACCTTTTTTTTTTTTTAGAACTTTATTGAAAAGTCACAAGTGATATTTCATAAAACTGGCCATACACCTATAGATTATCTGCAGATTTTCTATGGTCAGATGGAAAAAGTGCAACAGTTTCCTCCATCTACGCTGACTTTTCAATAATGTTCTAAAAAAAAAAAGTGCAATGCAGTGGGATCGCTGCATCGGGACAGTGTCGGGCACCGCACACCAGCCATGAATGCGGAAGTAATGTGTATTACATCACTTCCGCATTCGCCTGTCAGTCATCTGGCTGCTATAGCCAGAGAGAAGAAGTTGGGGGAGCAGA